CGGGTCCTGTCGAGGGTGGAGCCGGTTCTTCTTCGTCGTCTCCTGACACCACTCCTCCTCCTCACCCCTACCCGACTCGTTACCAGGCCCTTCGTCTTCTAGAGCGTGAGGAGCAGCAGCGTTTGGAGCGTGAGAGGTCGGAGGTTCAGCAGCGGGTGGAGTGTGAGCGGTTGGAGTTTCAGCAGCAGCAGCAGCCGCAGCCACAGCCACAGCAGCAGCAGCAGCAGCAGCCGCAGCCACAGCCACAGCAGCAGCAGCAGTAGCAGCAGCAGCAGCAGCAGCAGCAGCAGCAGCAGCAGCAGCAGCAGCAGCGGCAGCAGCCGCCGCAGCTGCCGGAACAGCCTCCGGCCCCTGTTTTTGGCCTTCGGGCCCTTGGTCTCCCCTCCTCTCCTCCTGTGTTTGGTCCCACGTTTCCTCCTCCGGACTCCACTCCGGCTGTCTTCCCTCGTTCTCAGTCTCCTCCGTCCCCCCCTCCTCTCGCCCACACTTGGGCCTCTCGCCCTCCTCGTGCTCGTCCCTCGTCCCCTGTCACCTGACCTCCGTACCGTGTTGTTTCGTCCTCGTCCTCCTCGTTCTCCTCCGTCTGTCCTTCCTCGTCCTCCTGAGTCTTCCCTCACTGCCTCCCTGTCCACTCCGGTCACTGACTACTACCGCACGTACCGCCCCACTCTCTCTCGTGTTCTCGCCTCTCTTGTTACAGACCCTCGTGCCTCTCCTTCCTCCGTCGCGGTCCTCACTGCCGCTGTCACTGACTTTACTGCTACGCGTCGCCTTGACTACGCCACTCGAGTTGTGGCAGCTCCTCCTGTCTGTCCTCTGTCCGCCGGGGGTGTGTGTGCCCTTGGCTGTGACGTCCTAGAGGACAGACAGTTTGAGCTAGATTTCCTGGCAGCTGCTTCGCCTCATCTCTGTGCCATGCTGCTCACTCCTGAGGGAGACCCAGACGCTCCTGACAAACCTACTCCTCGCACTTACGCTGAGGCAGTGTCAGGGCCTTGGGCCTCTCAGTGGAGAGCTGCCATGGACACAGAGATGGCCTCCTACAGGTCCACAGGCACTTACGCTGACGAGGTTCCCCCCCCTAGGGGCGAACATTGTTGACGGCATGTGGATCTTCAAGGTGAAGCGGCCGCTGGGATCTCCCCCAGTCTTCAAGGCACGCTACGTGGCTAGAGGGTTCAGTCAGCGCGAGGGGGTTGACTTCTTCCAGACCTTCGCGCCCACCCCGAAGATGACCACTCTTCGGGTGTTACTGCACGTAGCAGCGCAGAGAGACTACGAGCTACACTCTCTTGACTTCTCCACTGCCTTCCTCCAGGGGTGCTTACTCGAGGAGATCTGGCTGCGTCGTCCTCCGGGCTTCACTGACACTTTCCCGCTTGGGACCCAGTGGAGCCTCAGACGACCGGTCTACGGTCTCCGCCAGGCACCCCGTGAGTGGCACGACACTCTCCGCTCTACTCTCTCCGACCTCGGGTTTGAGCCGTCTTCCGCCAACCCGTCGCTGTTTGTTCGTCGTGGCCGTACACCTTTTTTCGTCCTAGTCTACGTTGACGACTTGGTTTTTGCCACGGCCGACACAGCTGCACTGGCGGAGGTGAAGTCCGAACTGCAGAAGAGACACACCTGCACTGACCTTGGGGAACTGCGCCGCTACCTTGGCCTGCAGATCTCCAGGGACAGAGCCGCTCGCACCATCACTCTCACTCAGTCACACATGGTGCAGCAGGTTCTTCAGCGGTTCGGGCTTCAGGACTCTTCTCCTGCCCCCACTCCTCTTGCTGTAGACCACAGACTCACTGGGCATTTTCCTGACGAGCCGTTCGAGCCCAGTGGTCCCTACGCAGAGCTGGTGGGCTGCCTCATGTACCTGATGACGTGCACTCGCCCGGACCTCGCCTTCCCCCTTAGCATCCTGTCTCGCTTTGTTGCGACTGGGAGACACCGTCCTGTTCACTGGGCGGCGGCTAAGAGGGTGGCGAAGTACCTTGGCGCGACATCAGGCATGGGGCTTGTACTTGGAGGGACACTGCCAGTTGTACTCACCGGTCACTGTGACTCTTCCTACGCTGACGACGTTGAGACTCAGAGGTCTACGCAGGGTTACTGTTTCAGCCTGGGTTCTGGAGCTGTTTCGTGGAGGTCTACTCGGTCCTCCTCCGTTGCGACTTCTACCGCAGAGGCCGAGATCTACGCTGGGGCCCTTGCTGCTCAGGAGCTACGCTGGTTGACCTTTTTGCTCACTGACCTTGGTGAGCGGCCGAGCTCTGCACCGACCCTGTTTGCTGACAACAGGGCGATGATTCTCCTGTGTCGTGAGCCTCGACTGGAGAGCAGAGTGAAGCACATCGACGTCAGGTACTTCCTCCTTCGAGAGTTGCAGAGACGCGGACAGGCTCGTCTGGACTTTGTGGCCTCCGAGGCCAACACTGCAGACATCTTCACCAAGGCCCTCCAGCCTTGTGACCACCGTCGATTTTGTCTGCAGTTAGGCCTCGTTGAGACTGGGTCTAGTTGACTGTTGTAGGGTGCTCTTTGTCTGTTACTTGCTTGTACCTTGTATACATATATATATTTTTTTGCACACTTTTGGACTGGCCTTGTGGCCCTTTGCTTGTGCTCATATTAGGTGGTGACGTTATGATCCACCCTGAGCTTTGTATTCTTTCTCTTGTTTTTGACTGGTCTTGTGACCGTAGGTTGCTTGTTGTTGATTGGCCTTCCCCACTTAGGCTATGGGGGTGTGTCAAATATTATAGCCTGTAATGGGTTGGGCTATATGGGGTACAACTAGTTAGGGTTAGGTTATGTACCCCAATTCTGTCAATACAACGCATCCCGCTGTAGTTCTCATTTTGACAATACTATACATACGGGTCCCCCCCCCCCCCCCTCCCCCCCCCCCCGAATCGGTCAAGTCCGTTTCAGTGTGACTCACGACATTACACTGATTCGTCAGTGTTACGTCTACAGCAACATGGAAAATGGTCAGTGTGGCAAGGTAGTTTATACTGAAATTTCAGTGCAAAATTGAATCATATGCTGAATTTCCAGGGAAAACGAAAATCACAGCTACAGAATCAGCCTGATCAGCGTGTTTTACGCTGATATCTGAGGGTCTGGCCTCCACGCATATGATATGTGTTGCGATCAGAGGGTGATCGTGACCTAGGATCTACTCAGGAAGGTTCGCAGACAGGGTAGTGATGTTGGTGGGCCCTTGACCTCAATAGCAGAGTTAATGTAAATGCTCGAGATGATTAAGACATGCATACATCGAGTTTATATAAGAGTACGGGGGAATACGAAAAGACCTAGGCTAGCCATGTACTCTAAGGGGTACATTCCCTTATTCAAATACATCCCCAACTGTGCGGCGCGAACAGTTATGAAACTGTTCCCGCCGAAACCATCCTGTATGCAGCTGCCCGATGCTGTCAGCCCCGACGGTTCAGATGAGTTCCAACCATCTGACGCTTCGCGTTCATCTGCGATACTGCGTGCTTCTCTTTTGCTGCGGTGAGGAGTGCACAGTAATATTCAAGTATTACTATTCGTGACAATATGCAATGCGCAACAATGAATATGAAGGATGTATTAGACCATCTCGACGATAATGAGGTGGAAAGTGGGGTGGTTGAGCAGGCGATGGTAGTTTTTGGTTGATTGGGGGAATTGGCTAGGCTTATTTTAAGTGTGCTGCTGTGAACGTTGTTGTCTTTGGTTCATACATCTTTGATGCTCATTGTGGAGGACTGGTGGAGCATACTCCGGCTACTGAGATTCTGCACCTATAAAAAATTGTAGGACTAACCAAGCCCCACCATACACATAATGACGCGTTACAAGTGCACGATGGATCGCCAAAATTAGTCTGTCACCGCTAGAGAAACATGCTCCAAACAAGTGAACCTTTCGGAACCGTCTACAACCTAGAAAATTGACGAACCTAAGAAATCCACCCAACACTTGCACGGCGTCCTGATCAACCTTCGCGAACTCAAAAGGCCCGAAGAATCCGGAAGTCCCTTGATGTCTTTTGATAGTCGCCTACGGCTCGGTATCGTCGTGCGCAGGTGCAAATGCGCGAAATTAGCCATCCATATCCTTCGCGAATGAAAGGTGCCAATTCAGGCAACAACCACACAGGCGGTTCGAGCGCTTCTCGATATCGCTTCGCCACTACTTGTTCTCGCATAAGCTGGGTAGGTACTTGAGATAATAGTGCAGGCTCATCGCCGCCAGCAGCTGCATCTCTTTTGCGCAGCTAGGGTGCGCGCGTGTGTGCTTTGACCCCGCATCTCACTCCCATTCACCACTTAACGCGACGAAGGTGCTTCGAGGAACTAAAGCACCGCTTTAAAACTCATCAAATCGCGCCAGTGGTGCATCGCCCTTCTCCGCGCCTTCGCTGTGTTTCACTGAGGTCGGTTGAGCGTCCGCCAACCTCGCCGTTGCATCATCTCACAATCCAACATGGCGCCCAATGAAACAGTGCCACGTGGCGACGGGCGCTTGGAAGAGCTGCTGGAGAGCGGCATGTTTGCTGACGTGACACCTGAGAGCGGGCGACGCGGATGTTGCCGCGCACCGCTGCATCCTCTCGTCGTGGTACGTGTGCAACGCCAGTGCGACGTTCCATGCGACGCCACGTGCGACGCCATGTGTGTTGTTACGTACGTCATTAGCTTGATTTCCAAGTCCGCGGCTTGTATCCCCCCCTAGCTTTCCGCAAACTACTTCTATCGCTGTGTGACAAATTGCAACCTTTTCAAGTTTTATCCTAACGGCTCTAGGGTACACTGATGGCGACATTTTTGTTTAATGACAAACTACATGTATCTCGTCCCCCACAACGTGCAGGAGAAAATCGTAAGGGCTTATTAATCAAGGCCCCTTGCTGTACCCCCTCTGTTTAACACAGGTCTCCTGTGTTCAAGAAGATGTTTACGAACGGCTTCATGGAGACATCGGAGTAGCCTGTAGTGAGGATGGACGACATGGACGAGTGCACCCTGCGCCTCTTCCTGCGCCTCATCTACGCGGGCAGATGCAACCTTCCCAAGGAGTACCTACTGGTGAGCCCTCACCAGCAAAATTCAAATCGATAATTACGAGTATTGTATCAAGTACATAAGTGTATTGCTGCTCCTGTTACGTGTAGTTGCAAAATGAGGAGGTATTTCGTGTCTATCTTGTGAACACGTCTGCCAGCGGACCTGTATTCGCACCTTGATTGTGTCCAGGTAGCTACTAAAAGCAGTCCATTACTAGGACAGTTATGGTACTATGATAATCCAACCTGCATTGTGTGACTAACTATCATGATGACTCTTCCAACCCGCATTCCCCCCTTTCTTCTTCACAGAGCCACGGGCTGCGGCTGCTGACGTCAGCAAATAAGTACAACATCCTGGAGCTAGTGTATGCACTGGACGGCGAACTGGCGGCCGTGGCGGCGGAATCTGGGGACCTCCAGCTGGCATTTGACGGGCTCCACGTGGCAGCAGCTCACGGCGCGGTGCAGTTGGCCGGTTGGTGCAGGGAGAAGATTTTTGAGTGCAGTGGGGAAGGAGCGTGCATCGCTAAAATGAAGGTGTGTTAAAGAGTGAGGGAGGACAGTAATTTATATTGATGCACATACTTACGTTAACATGTTTCTCTCTGCCATGTGTTTGCACAATTGTAAACGTCTCTGCAGGAAATGGTTATGAGCGACTCTATTCAAGAAAGGCTCCTCTCTTTGGATGTAATGGAGTTCATTTTCAAACGGGCATATAAGAAGCAGTCATCTACTGCGATGGATGGATCTGTTTTTTATCGCTAAAGAAGTAATAAGTTTGTAAGATCCTAAGATACAACCGCTATTCTATGTCAAAAACAGCACGATGCCATGGTGTTGTTTTTTCAAGCGCTTACTGTACCCGCCAGCCCCAAATTCCTGGCAATTCACGAGTTCAACAACTCCATGTTGGGAATATGACAAATGGTCGGCAGCTTTGTTGTGTGCCCAACATTCACATCACAGGTGTAAAAACGTTTCAGCACGATGACTCGATTCCTAAGTTCGGCCTTTGTGGGGTTTCCCTAACTGAAGCGGTGAGGAGGAGCTGGTAAAGTATCAACAACATAACTCTACTGTAGCTACGATTAAGTGTTTACGCTCATTGTGCAGGATGAGTGCATGGGGCAGCGAACGAAATGTGTGCACAGCATGTAGAGTGGCTTGGAATTCATGTTCCGCAATTCGCAGTGTCCGAACCGAGATCGTTTTGGAACTCGCAACCGCAAAAGCCAGAATCTCCCGCGCGCGGTCCGGGAAAAGTTTCGTTCGCCGCCACATGGTGTTGTCGTGAACAAGTCTCATATTTGTCGCTCGAGTAATGCGGCTGCCACTTTGCAGTGGCTGCTTTCCCGCAGAGTCGCAGCGCGTCGCTAACCTCGTGATCAATCGGCAGCGAATCGTATGCGAAATGTGTCTACTGCTCACATGTAGGCTAGGTTCACTGCGCCTCCCCGCTGTCAGACGTCCGCCACACAAGAACTCAGTGCAAAACATAAATTGCACCCCATCAGATTCACAATCCCATCATAAATTGCATCATTTGACCGCGTCGTCTGTTCGGATTACAATTCCTCGGACTTTGTAGCTCCAGAAAGTTTTTTTTTGTGACCGAAGCACAGCGCGGCGCGATTTCATTGGGTATGTCCCTCACTGCACTGGTTGCTTGTGTCTGACCGACGCTTGCTAAAAAGCAAGGGTGATGCCCGGCGCTTATCAACAATTTCCCGAATCCCGCCTCATGAATGTACCCATTCAACCAACCCAAACCCCGCCCCAAAGGTTGACCTTTCACCCCAAGTCCATTCAAACCAGCACTTTCGCGAGTCGCGAAAGCCACAGAACCCCCTCGTACCCATGTGCTTCCTTTCCAACCCAACCCCCATTTACAACCATCTCTGCGACTGGATCGAAGATCCAGCCAATTACTAGCGGACCCATTGATGCAATGCACAGTCGTCTCGTGGTGTAGAGTCCATCCCGTGTTTGGAGATTCTTTTCTTCTCGAGTTACGTACACCCATTTGGTCCAACCAATCGAGCCAACCACCGTTCAGCCTTGCTGCTTTGCTCTGTACCCTCTTCCTCCTGCTGACTCACACACCCTGGGCGCTGGATTTTCGCAGAGCTCTTCCACGGGGACCAGTCTGAGCGACGACGACCACCTTCCATACAGAAGGCCACGCTTTTCTCAATCTTCCCTCACAAGTCTCTCGAGCAGCCACGTTTCCCAACTCCAACCCGACAACCCCAGCTCAGTTGTTGAAGACTGTCCCCCCCCAACCCAGCCATCCCATAAGATAGCGGAAACCGTGCGATTCATCTCTTTTGCTTCTTCGTCTTTCTAGCAAGATAGCGGCAGCCATACGTAACCCGCAAGACTCGTTCATTTTCAACTTGTTGACCAAGGCCGAAGGCACTCGCTTTATATTATTGTTCGCCTCTCGCATTTGTCGCCATCAACGTACACGTAGGGTTACAGCAGCCATTTCCTACCGTCCCAAACAATCTGCAAGCGACTAGTAGATAGGCCCCGTTTTTTCGTTTCACTGCTATAGTCGGCAGTTTCGGGTACGTGCGGATTACGGCGTGTCAGAATGGACGTGCCGTCGTTAATGGCGAGTAAAAAAGGAGTGAGCGAGAGCGAATCGTCCATGTCACTGGACTCGCGGATAAACGACGAGGAAAAAGCGTCGTCGTTCTGCTCAACAGGCAGCGACGATAGCACGGTACGTGCGCCAGGGCAAAGCTTTGTTTGTATTTTCCTCGCCTGCCTCATGAATATATGCTTTCACGTTTTTCCTTACGAAACAAAGTCCTCGTTGTGTTTTCGAAGTCTATCTGAGACACCGTGACGTCCTTCCCCGGTGTGAACGGCTCCAATGTTTCCGCGACACGTTTCTGTCCTGACAAGCATGCCGCCATCTTCTCAAACCCTAGACAGAGCTCTCTAACCCAATGCCACAGCTGATTAATTCCTCATTAACTTTTCAAAGTTTTCAAGTCCCTATAGCAGCTCCGAGCGACCATATTCGAAGTCACCTTACAGCACAGTCTCTGTAATCAGCGGGTCGTTCTTGGCTCGACGACTCTCCTTAACCACGCTCGACACTTTCATCGTCCCCCTTACAAGCCCTACCTTTCCCCTTTCGACCTTTCCCTCCAAATTTATATATTACGGCTGCGAGTCCTCACCGTGTTAAATGGTTAAAGCGAAACCGTTTGATTTCCTCCCCACACTGTATCCGCGTTGGAATCATTTCTCTTATTTGGCTCGTTCAGTTCCGGACTGTTACAGCGCTCTGTAACGTCCAAAACGCGTAGCCTAGCTCACCCTTGTGCCGTCACTGCGTTCGCCAGCCTTGGCGTTCCTACCGGTCCCGCCTCGCCTCATCCTTTGTCAAACCTTTTTCTGCACTCTTTGGTGTTCCTGCTCTTTTTTACAGGAAGAAGAAGACCACGCTTTACCGCCAGACAGCAAACTCGTCGTCAAGGTTGACGGAAAAGATGACGGGAAACTCGAGGACGACGACGGCAAGTCAGAACCGGCGAAGAGACATACAGCCGCGCGGACGTGGCTCGGGATGCCGGGGTGGCAGTGCGCTCTATTCGCCGGAGCCATAGCTGTCGTTCTCTTCCTCATCGTCTTCGGCGCTGTTCTCCTCGGCCTCGCGCTCTCCTTCCACTGTGAGGTGCGTACGCGTGCCTCACCCGGCCCCGCAGCTCTCCTGACCCGCCTTTTATTTTTTGGGACATCGCAATTTTAATTTCTTTCCTGTGTGAAGTGCCCTGTTCCACATGGATTCACATCTCATCCGCCTCACCTGGCCCTGTTCTTCTTGTTCGACGCGCCTGAAGGATTGCCGCGTCGTTCCCTCCGTTGCAGCATGCGCCTCTCTCAACTGGTCCTATGCCCCAAAATCTTGAGCACTCGAACGAAACGCTGCTCGCTTTTTTTTTCCAGTACCGCGTACGCCTTTCTTGTAATGCCCTCCTGTTTTTCCGCGCTAGCTTCTTTTCGTCAAAGCGAGCTTGTCTCCCCTCCCCTCCTCTCTTCAGTGCAGTCTCTTTCGAGTGCACGCTTCGTCCGTCTCGTCCCGTCTCCTTACCTTACCTTTGCTTTCCGCCCCGTGTCGCCCATCTCCGCCACCACAGGACGTCTCGATTCGAGTAGATAGCCTCGACTTTCACAACATGTCGTTTTCGCAACAACCCTCGGAGTCCGGATCGGGCGATAAGACGCTGCTGCTGAGCGCGCGGCTAAACGTGTCGGCGAACGTGTTTAATCCGAACGAAAACACGATGGTGGTGGAGCAGCTGTTCGTCGCGATCGACGGCATGGATCATCCCATGACGAATGTCACGGTAGGGTTCGCATAACCAGCTATTTCTCTCGTAACATGGTAACGTGAATGTATGACCGTCCGCCACCCCCTTGCCCCCAGCAACCACCGCGCACCTGCGAGAAATAAGCTCATTCCACATTTTCCGCGAACCAAAGCAGCTGCCGGAATTCATGATCTCCCTTTCCGTGGGCAATCAGGAGCATTATATGTGTGTTTTGAGGCCCGGCGTCGCGTTTGCTTCTTGCACTAATCTACCTTCGTATCCCCTGAATCTTCTTTTGTCCTACCCCGTAAATCCTACCAGCTGCCCGGATTCACCCTCGCCCCGAGATGCAACCTGACGCAGAACATTGACTTTGTGGTTTCGGGTTACCCGCTGTTCACCATCGGAGCAACGGAGAGCCTGCTGCGGCTCTCGGACAAGACCAAGAATCTGCCGTTCAAGGTGGGTTACACGTTACAAGTTATGTAACACGTTACACGCAGGTTGATTCATAGTGGATTTGCAATGAAAGCGTGGCGGCTGCTGGCCGAGTGGACCAATAAGTGTGGTGCCCAAGTTTTTTAGGGTGCACAGTATTCAGTAAACTTATGTAGCTTAAATGGCAGTGCTGATGTGAAGAACACAGGGTTACCGCCATTGTGGTGACGGATTTGGCTGCTCCCTATTGTCACTCACATCCACTTCCAACCTGTTCCCTATTCAATGTGCCATGCTTATTTGGTACAGATGGTGGTGAAATCTTTAGGGCATGTTGTCTATCATAACTTCAACACTCCTTCATACTACGTAAGCCTCCCTATCCTTATCGGCAACTTAGTCTGACTGTTGCTCTTTACGTGTCCCTCCCTGCTTCCTGCGTCAATTGCTTTCTTATCTACAGTTCCTTATCGGCTACCAACCCTCTTCCTGTGTTACAGTAATGTGATTTTAGATGCTGGTGTCTTAGTCAAAACTTTCTATATTGAGGGTTATTTTCTGTTGTTCTTTTCTCTACCATATCGTTCTGTGCAGTACACGCATTCATGCAATGTGACGTTCACTCCGGGGGAAGAGGACGTGCATATCATATCATGCCACAAATCAAGAGTCAAGGCATGAGCAGCAGCAGCAGCAGCAGCAGAAGAGAGAGAGCAATCAGATTCTTTCTGTACCTGTAGCGCAACAGGCATATCAGCTGTTGCAGCAGCAGAAGATACAATATCAAGCTCCTCCTCAGGTTTTAAAGGTTTCCTAATCAGCAACCTTGAACCACTGCGGGTGCTAGCCGTTCAAAATAGTTCCTTGTATCAATGTCAATGTTGGCAACAGCAGCAGCAACAGCAGCCACATCAGCAGCCGCAGCAGCCACATCAGCAGCCGCAGCAGCCACATCAGCAGCCGCAGCAGCCACATCAGCAGCCGCAGCAGCTACAGTGACTGCAGCAGTAGCAGCAGCATAATTGCTGCATGTCATCTTGTAATCTGAACCATCTCCTCACCATCTAGTCCTCACGCATGAGGCTTCAGGATGAGGGTCACTGATTTAGTGTCCTCCTGAAATCTCTATTTCTCCAATTGCACTGTACTCGTGCAATTTGAGGCACGGTAGTGTGATATTAATTTGGCAAGGGGAAATGGTACAGCTGTTTTTCTCTTGACCTCCAGCTCTTTATCTAACCTTTTTGGGTATTTTACGCCTAATAAATTATTGATTTGTCTTGTGATGCGCCTGATCGATCTGCCAAGTGACCTGCCAAGATGGAACGAGAATCAGGAGTACTTTATGGCTCGCAAACTTTTTTATACTGAGTTGGATCTCCAAGTCGGAGGGAAGCGATCCAGACTTGAAAAAAGAAAACGATTAGAATGCTTATAGCTGCGATCTACATACTTAGAGCGGGGGGGTCTGGTTTATCACTTGAAAACCAGGTGACCAGGTTTTTCACTCGGCCCCTTAGCCTGCAAATAGAACGGTTGAGGGGGGTGAAGAGAGGGGGGTGGGGGTCCCTTACCCGAAAGCCTCATCGGAATTCGGTCGTCATAACGGTTTTGTCAGTATCGTCGAGGGGGGTAGTCGGAGCCGAGAATGACGAGGCGGGCGACTGACGCTCGTGCGAGCCCGCCAGCTTGGCCCAGGGCTGGGCCGAGCGCACGACCGCCGCCCCGCAGCCCCGCTCCGAAAGTGAACAGCGGCCCATGTTACCGGATGGGGTCGGCGAACTGGCGACACCTCGCGCGTGGGAAAATCACCCTCGCACGAAGGCAGCCCGCACGTGCCACCTGCCCGCGAGGTCCTAAGAACCCATCGCGGCTTGTCCGGACGGACAGACGAGGGCCGGGCGAAAACTCGGGGCCCCCTCGGGACACTCGTCAATTTCGCGACCCGTTGCGGTGACGCCACGTGTTCGCTCGTGGTTTCGCATCGGGGGCATGCGATATTTCGATGTGAGCGAAAAAAGAAAATCCCGCAACGCGGAGAACGAGGTTCGTTACCCGCTACGAAGTCGACATGTGTCGTGCGAATGGACGCTCCTCGCGCATGCGAAATTGCGTCCCCTCGCCGACCTGGGCCAATGGACACGAGGTCGACGCCCCGTCGAAGCGGACCCGGACCACCTGTCCCACTTGCGCATGTGCCCTCAGAGCCCTGCCGAGCCAGGCCCCACACTCTTGGGCGACGCTGAACGGGGATGCGGTGGGCCACCGTCTCCTTTTCTTTGTGGATGGTGGCCTCGCTCCCCATTTTTTGCATCTCGTTTCGCTCCTCCTTTTCTCCTTTTTTCCTCCTTTCGTAGCTCTGTGCGGCTATCGTGATATCGCTTCCCCTTAGTCGATATGGACCCTAGCCCCGACGGCGATAACTCGGCGCCGACTTCGGCTGACTTCCCTCTTCGTCACCCAATGGGTCGTGGTCTCAGCTTCACTCTAGAGTGGGAAGACTTCTTAGTTCTTCGCAATCACAAGATAGAGTTCAACGACGGATGTTTGGGTTTCGGCATCAAGACTCGAGTAGTCGGCGCCGACTAAACAGGGTTAGTGTTGATGTCGGCGCAATGGCCTTCTGATTTACGTTGACGTGCGCGGTATTAGGCATAGACCCCCTCCAGAAACGTCGGCCACCTTAGGAAGCGTCGACCACACGCAGTCGCCCCGTGTACTTTTCGGCGTTTGCTCAATCGCCCTTGTATGAACCTCCTTGCCCAATCGTGCCGTCAGGTTCGCGTGGTCCCGACTTGGGATCGACAACCAGCGTTTGTGGGTAATCGGAGTCGGCACGCTTCGATCGGCCATGAAGGAGGCCGACCATTCATGCTTTGCTGCGGTTTTCGACGCCGACATCGCTGCTACCCCGTTAAGAACGATGTGAGCCGTTTCACCGTTGATCAGTTGTCGTTTTTTGTTGTCGCGACATCGCGTGGTGTTGTCATCGACGCCGTCGTGAATTGCATGTGCAGCCTCGGTCCGCTTCCAAGAACGCGCTGCAGTGTGATTGCCATCCTATACCTTGGAGATCTCTTCAAGGCTGAGGGACATGTGTGAAGGACCTCAATCCGGCACATCGACCCGCAGACTGGTAAAGGGTATCACCGCATCGAGGCCGCCCGCGTGCTAAAGTAAGTGCTGAATTGTCGTCGATGACCCGCTTGTTAGTCGGCGACGCAGGGTATCACACGCTGACCGCCTCCCTCCACCGCGGTGCTTCAGGTTCTTCCGCACGGCTGTCCTGGCCGAGCTGGGGCATCCCGCTAGGATGTGGGACTGGGCGCCGCCATCACAAGCAGTGGTGGAGGTCAGGCTGGCCGAGTGCGACCACCCTATCCGCGATGTGAGTTGCACGTTCAAGTAGTAAGGGGGGTGCCCGTTTCTGAATGCTCCGCTCATCATGTTCTGTGCTTGTACGCAGAAAGTGCCGGGCACAGTGTCGGACGGGCATGTCGGTGCCGGCGTGCTTTCCGCGACGTCGTTCGGGTGGGCAGCAAAACGGATCGACCATCTGACAGGCGAGAAGGGTCGTAGTGGGGTGAGCATCGAGAGCGTCGGGATGAAGGGGCTCAAGGCTTTGCGTGACAACATGGTTGAGTACGTCGGCAAGGTCATTGCCGTAAAACGCACCGCGGCGCCGACTTCTCAAGCCGCCGGACCCGCCAACAGTGCCATTGATGACGACGGCGCGGAAGGACAGAAGGCGCCCCAAGGTGCAGTTGCCGCCCAGCATCAGGGGAACGCGAGGGTGCATGGGGAAGGTGGAAACGGTGGAGGAGGCGACGTAGAGGCAGGTGCAGGAAGGTTGGAAACGGAGAAGTCGTCGTCGTCGTCTGAGTCGGAGTCGGAGTCGGAGGAGGAAGACGAGGCGGTGAAGCGTAAGGTCGAGGACGAGGAGGAGGAGGAGGAGGATGAGGAGGAGGAGGAGGAGGAGGAGGAGAATAAGGACGAGAATGGTGTAAAGTAGGAGGGAGGGGATGAAGAGGTGGAGCTCATGGTGGAGTATGTAGAGGGTACGGTTGAGGCGGGAGCGGCGGAAGAGGCGGTGGGGTCGGCGGATCAGGGGAATGAGGAAGAGAAAGATGACGGCGCGGGAAATGCTACGAGGTCGGCAGATGTGGGGAAGGAGAAGGGTGAGGTCAGCGTGGAGGCAACGACGGGAAATGGCCAGGATGAGGCGACCTGCGCGGGAGGTGGGAAGGTGTCGGTCGACGCCGGCGAAGGGGCAAACAACACGGGCGTGCAGGAGACTTGGGAAGCACCTGGTCGGCAGGGCCCTGAACTGGACGACGTTGAGGAGCTGGGACGGGAGAACTGGTTGTTGCGGGCGGAGAACGCTCGGCTGGCGACGTTGCTTGATGCGGAGCGGGCTCGGCTGGACGGGTTTTTTGTTGGGGTCAGTGGACTCGTCGACCACGTTAAAGGGTTGGCCGAGCAGGTCGACGACACCAAGAAGTGTGCCGCGGAACAGCTGCAAAACGCGACGGAGGCCATGTCGAAGACCATCACGGGCAACATCACCGGCAACTTTGACGAAGCGCGGAAGTCGATGAAGACATTCGCGGAACAGGCAACGGAGTGGTTGGAGGACTTCGACAATCCGGAGGGTCGTGTCGCGTATGCACGGGCGGTAGCGGTCTCCGCCTTGGCCGAACATGTAGATTCGGTGGTGGGCGATGCGAAGAAGGGGTTGGAAGAGTACGTCTTGAACCACCTTGCCTCCGCGCAGTTCAACATCGCCACCACTGTGACCGCCAGGCTCGCCGTGCCGCCGCCGCCACCGCCTCATCCCACGCCGCCCGCCATCCCGGAAGAGCTTTTGAAGTCGTTCAAGGCTGACATCATGAAGGCGGTGACGGAGGCCACCCAACAGTCTTTCGTTGCTTCCGAGATGAAGATGATGACAGAGATGATCGGCACTGTGGCGCCAGGTCGAGGTGGGTCGTCGCCTTCGGCCAATGACGCCGATAACGCGCAAAGAAAAACGGCCGAGAAGAAGGGCCATAAGAGGACGGACGACGGAGAGGACAAGGAGAGCTCGAAGCGGAGCAAGGGAGCGAACGGTAGCCGCGGGTCGAAGCCTGCGCAACAGAGCGTGGTCGACCAGCTGAAGACGAAGGCGGGGTGGAAGGTGGTAAGGACGTCGCACAGCTAGGGAGGCGGAAGCGGGGGAGCAGAGGGTGGCCCTGCCGACGGGGTTGCCGCTAACGTAGCTGCTCCGACTGGCCCGCCTTTGGTCGCCGAGCAGACCCATCCTCAGGCGAGCGGTGGGAAAGGCATGATCGGCAAGGAGGTGCCAACTGCTTAGGCGGCGAATGATGGCGACTCCGGAACCACCAAGGGACCGTGCGTCGCGGCGGCCGCCAAGCCTGGTTCTGCTACGATTGCCAGCACCACCGAGTCGAGTCCCCGTAACCCCCTTGCGGCTACCCGCGCACCTGCCGACCAGTCAGGTGCGAACAAAGATGGGCAGGCTGCTCCAGCTCTAGCAGCCCCGGCTGCCGCCAAGGGCGTCGCGAAGGCTGCTTCGGCTAAGGGTGATGTCGTGGCATCAGCTAAGGCCCCCCCCGGTGGTACCGCGCTCAAAGAGATGCTCTGCCGCATGGAGGCACATAGCAAGGACGTGCAGCAGCATCCCGTGGTCGACGCCGACCTTCCTGGAACAGCACGTCGCTCCGTCACTACGCAGGTTGCCGGCAAGTCGTCCGGTGCCCCACCTGCCGCGCCTCCGGTGGCCGCCCCACCGCCTGCGGACCCCAAGTCTGCTTTTCTTCGCTCCCATTTAGGTGCACGCGAAGCGGCTCCTCCGTCAGTGACCCTGCCGGAACTCGGTAAAAGCACGACGCCAACGTCTGTAAACGCGATCGCACCCACACCAGATGCATCTGTGGTCGATGTGGCGGCGGAGAAGGGAGTGAGTGCAGCGCTCGCCACCGGCGGCCGCGTAGACAAGCATGCCGGCCTCGCTGTCTTCATGGCCCATTTTGAGGCAGCAAAGTGCCCCGAGCACGCCCCTGTTATGGCCATCATGGACATGGCGCATGTGGTGCCGTCGGCGACCCACGGAGGGGGTTCGGCGGAGCAGACGGCCGCAACGGCTGCTGTCGCCGAGAGAAATGCTGGACGAAAGGAAAAGGATGACAACGGGAAAGGGAAGGCGGTCTCTAAGAGGAGGCCGCGGGCGATGTCTGCGGGGAAGTTGATGTCGGAAGAGAATGGGAAGAAGGCGGAAGGGGAGCAGGACAAGACGGGCGGCATGGGTAAGCCGGCGAAGAAGAAGGAGAAGGCGGAGGAGGAGGACGAGGAGGGCGGCGAGGGAGATAAAGAGCATGGACGCAGGGGTCATGGCATCCGCCGAGACAAGGCTGGCAACGGGCAAGGGTGGGTGGGCGAGATTAAGGTAAACGGACAGAATAGGTACATCGGCAAGTCGAGGGAGAAGATGGAGCTGGCCTACGAGGACGCGATTGCGTTCGTCGTCTACGACGGCTACATGAGCAAGGTGCTCATGAAGGAGCTCACCGTCTTGAAGCCAGGGGAGCTGGATAAAGGGAAGGAGGTGTGGGCGGAGGTCAAGTTCTTGCCGACGGAGATGTGGGCAAGAGGCTTGTGCCATCCGAGAGCACGGTAAGACGGATCCTGACGTGCCGAGTTCTGTCGACCAAGTCGTGTCATTACGCTGATGTTGACGAAGTTGTGTCGTTCTAATGTGTTTGCGCGGCAGGTTCGACGACATACTCGGCAGGTACCGTGGGTACGCGAGTTCTGGTGATGCGCTTCATGACGTGCTCTGGCCGGCGATCTGGTTCCCCATCATCGAGGACACGGAGGAAGGCAAGGAAGAGATGGACGCTCTCATGTCGGCGATGGTAAATCGCGTGTCGATGTGCGCGGCGTATGGGAAGGTCACGGCGAGCGCGACGTTTGGGAAGGTTGATGCGAGCGTGGAGGGGAAGGTGAACGAGAAGACGGAGATGGGGGCCCAGGCGTTAGCGGCATCGGCATGCGCCATCTAGTGCTTCTTGGAGACGGGGGCATCGGTGCTCGGTGCTGTGGGCGAAAGGAAGGCGGCGGCGATGGTGGCAGGTGCGGGGGAGGCAAGGGCCGAGGACTTCAAGGAGGTGATGCACGCGGTGATCGACATAGCACACACTAGGCAGGCTCCCGCTGGGGAGGTTGCACATAACGTCGTGCCATCGCTGCAGAGCCAGGCAGTGGCCAGGGCCTTCGCAAAGGGAGTTGAGGAAGTCGAGGCCGACATGATCGCAAGAGCGACGGTCGAGACCTTGGCGTTCTGGGGAATGTGTCCCGTCGCCGGGCCCAAGCTCAAAGCGCAGGGCATCGATGTGCCGTGTGACGCGAGGATGGAGTACGATATGGATCACAAGGGGAGGAAGGGGGAGAAGGTCAAGCAGAGCAAGGGCAGCAGCAAGAGGAAGAAGGGCAAGCAGGGCAAGGGCAGTACGGATGCGTAGTTGGCGGGCTGTGGTGTGCAGGGTACTATTGTATGGTCGGCACCGATGTTGTAGTAATTCTAATTACTTTTGTATCGTAGGGCACGAATCTTTTTTGTTTTTTAGCAAATCACTATCCACATTGAAACTTGCTAGCCGGCTTTGAACGATGCGCCTTGTCGGTGCATATGTCGACATCAAAAGGAACATGCTACTCGGCGAGCAGCAATGATAGAGAAGGTAGACACATGCTACTCCGCGACGAGTTTTGTCAGCGAATATGTCGACACCCTAGCAACATGCAATCCTGCGAGATGTCGACATCGAGCTGTGTTTAGATGTCAGCAAGGATAGTATTTTTGTTTCTTACTGAGCGATCGACTACATTTAACACAGCGGGACCCAGTAGGTTCGCAAAGGCCTTGCACTGGGTTGTTACAAACTACCGGAACATCATTTGGAAAAAGAAGGGAAGGGGGTGGGTGGGGGGGGGGGGGGGGGGGGGGGTGTGTACAAATCTGCCACAGTTAGTAGCATCGAACTATGCACACCCATATCCTACAGGCGCGATCATGCCGACTTCTTGCGCTTGATCGGAGGACGGTGCACCGGAGCGGTCGGCTTGGCCGGTGCTGTCGACTTGGCCGGGGCCGTCGGCTTCGCCAGGTCGGCCTTGGTCTTTGGCATCTGCTCCTCCCACGTGTCTGGAAACAAGGTTTCGATCCAATCAATCTGCTTCAAGTTGAGCGTCACAAGCGCACAGGCGAGGCGTACCTTCGACACCACCTTGGGGCCCAGCCCCTTGACTCCCAAACCAGGCTCTTTGGACAACATCGGTGTCCGTTCCCGGTTTGAGCACCGTGAGGGCATCGGCGAAGGTCCCGATGCCCGATGCCGCGATCCTGTGCAGTGTCTCGACCACGGCCTCGGTGTCGGCGTCGCCGTCACTCGCGCGTAGCTGGCGCACCGCATCCATGACCTTCAGCATGCGGCGCACCCTCTTGTTGAGTGCACTCTACGTTGCGCCGGCGAGGAGGGTGTGGCGGTCGATGAACCCCGGCTCGGCCATCCTGTCGCTAAGCCGACGGGTGTCATTAGCGGTGGCGGAGTTCCAGAGGTGCCAGGTGTCCCTCACGGCAGGGCTTCAGATTCGTTTTTGGCCACCCTTAGTAATCAGGGTTCTAGGGATAGTCAACCCTGATGCATAGGGTAAAACTTTTGTTTCCCTGACAAATGCAGGGTAAAAAAACAGTTAGTCTGTTTGGGCAGGGTATTCTTAAAAACTTGTGATTATCTAAGTGCCGAAGCGCTCAAGATCAATGGCTAGTAGTTCAGCTGGTTCAATTGCGCATCAGATCTGTAAGGTCGCAAATTCGAATCTCGCTAGTGGTATCGTTTTGCAGGGACCTGTATAGTGTTTCGTCTCGCTACGGAGCACTCAGTACCAGTATAGCTGGGATTGTACGCTGTACAGTCAGAGCAATGTATTCCTTATGCTGTTTTTTAAAGGGTATTGAAAAACTTACACTTTCTGGCCCAGGGTAAGAAATTCACTACCCTGCCTGTGAAAGGGTAACTGAAAAAAAGCGGCCGCCAGTCAGTGCAAAAAGGGTATTTTACCCTGATAACGAGAGGCCTGCCTCACGGTCTTGGCCTCCCGCCACGGTTGTACCACGTTGAGCTCGTAACTAGCCTCCACGTCCGTCTGTGGGGGTGGCGGGGGTTTGTCGTCCCCTCCGTCGGCGCCGGCTCCCATGTTGGCCGAATCCGCCGAGCCACCCTCACTGGGACCTTGCGCGGTAGCACACGGCGGGGCCTCCGGCACTCTCCGTGCTTCTGACACCCGGAGTGCCTCGGTGAGACGGGTTATCTCGACGGTGAGAGACGCGATGGTGTCGTCGCGCTTCTCGAGCTCCTCGAGGAAGTCAATCTTCTCGTTCGCGGCACGCTCCATCTCCTTCGTCAGCTTCGCCTTGAGGGATATGTTGCAGTACTCGGTGTCCATGCGGACAGAGATTTCTTGCAGCGGTAGGACAAAGATGTTAGCCGCTCGGTGGTTCGGAATGCCCTACAGCTAGCTCGTCGTCGACTTACCTCTTCCTGAATTTGGGTCGGGTCCCGACACTTGTTGATCGTCCCGGTGTCGACCCTCTCGACCCGTTTCGCCCAGTGCTAGAAAGAGGGGGATCCGGCAGAGCAGGGAGCCTTGGACGTACGGGTGCCATGGTGTGCGGACCAGCTTCACCGCTAGGTCCTCGTTGTCGAAACCTTAGCAAGGCTTAGGAGCCATAGCTAGTGAGGTCGAGTAAGTTGAGTAGAAGGAAAGTGTCGAGCAAGTTTGAAAGGAGAAATGTGTTAAGAGAATGAGGGATTTCACTATAGGTTCAAGGGTACAAATATGAGAGAACAAGCAAGAAAGGTGCACCACCAAATAGGAAAACGCTATAACTACAGTAACCAATCCTACAGGCAGTTACATATAGAAAATATTAAATTATATTTTCCGACACGCCCCCATAACTGGCTGTAGGAGATGAGTATGCAGTTAGCGTCCTCTGAAGGGGTACATCACGATTGCGCAGGAGGAGAAAAGTGTTTCAATAATACCACTCCCCTGGTTCCCCCACACCCTCACACCCTCCCACCCTCCCCCTCCCCCTCCCCTTCCCCCTCCCCCACACACTGCTGCAGGAGGAGCAGAGGGGGGGAAGAGAGGAGAGGTGGAGGGACGGTTGCTGGGTGGTCTCACACCTGCCACCCCAGTGCCACTCCCCGGCTCCCCCACACCCTCACACCCTCCCCCCAGCGGCAGCTGCAGCAGTGGGAACAAAAGGAGGAGGAGAGGGGGGGGGGGGGGGTCGACGCACGGCCTCCCCGGGCGCCAAAGCAGGCGGCAGAGGGGGCGACGCCTGCCCCCCCCTTCTAGGTCGGCCTCTGAAGGAGCCGCGACGGGTGACGGGAAAAGGGGGGGGGGGGCGGTGCACGTGCCCCCGGTGTGCCGCGGCTGGCGACGGGGCATGGCCGGGGCAGGGTCGGGGCCGCAAGTGGGCGGGGCCGCAGGTGGCATCGGGGCCGAAGTGGGCGACGGGGCTGCAGGTGGCGGTGGGGCCGCAGGTGACGGGGCCGCAGGTGACGGGGCCGCAGGTGACGACTGGGCCGCAGGTGGCGACGGGGCTGGGGCCGCAGTTAGGCGACGAGGCCGGGGCCGCAGGTGGGCGACAGGGCCGGGGCCGTAGTGAGGCGACGGGGCCGCAGGTAGGGGACGGGGCCGCAGGTAGGCAACAGGGCCGGGGCCGCAGGTAGGCGACGGGGCCGGGGCCGAAGGAAGGCGACGGGGCCGGGGCCGCAGGTAGGCGACGAGGCCGTAGGGCCGCATGTAGGCGACGGGGCCGTAGGGCTGCAGGTAGGCGACGGGGCCGTAGGGCCGCAGGTAGGCGACAGGGCCGAGGCCGCAGGTAGGCGACGGGGTCGTAGGGCCGCAGGTAGGCGACGGGGCCGTAGGGCCGCAGGTAGGCGACGGGGCCGTAGGGCCGCAGGTAGGCGACGGGGCCGTAGGGCCGCAGGTAGGCGAGGGGGCCGTAGGGCCGCAGGTAGGCGACGGGGCCGAGGTCGCAGGTAGGCGACGGGGCCGAGGCCGCAGGAAGGCGACGGGGCCGGGGCCGCAGGTAGGCAACGGGTCGTAGGGCCACAGGTAGGCGACGGGGCCGTAGGGCCGCAGGTAGGCGACGGGGCCGTAGGGTAAGGGGCACGTCACGGGGCGTGCCGAACACAGATTCGCAGCGGAAGCTGTAGGGTGGGCCCACAGGTCAGGACCTTAGTAGCTCTGATAGCATGTCGAAACCTTAGCAAGGCTTAGGAGCCATAGCTAGTGAGGTCGAGTAAGTTGAGTAGAAGGAAAGTGTCGAGCAAGTTTGAAAGGAGAAATGTGTCGAGAGAATGAGGGGTTTCACTATAGGTTCAAGGGTACAAATATGAGAGAACAAGAAAGAAAGGTGCACCACCAAATAGGAAAACGCTATAAATACAGTAACCAATCCTACAGGCAGTTACATATAGAAAATATTAAATTATATTTTCCGACACTCGGCAACGATGCGGCGCAGCATCTGGAGTGTGCGCCAAAAGTGCACCGCGGCTTTGTCGGCGTCGGACCCCTCGGCATCCTTCCCTTCCGCCTGCAATTCGTCACGTGTATTAGGAGTTCAGACACTGTCGGCAACACGACTCGGAAACAAGGATACGAGGGCGTCGACTAACATACCGTCTTCAACATGTCGTCGACGCCGGGGAAGATGTGCTCGGCGAGGAGCTTCAAGAGCTTATCGGAGGGCTCCACCCTGCTCCGGCCCAAGAAGTAGTCGTGCTTGTAACCAGAGTAACCGGCCTTCTTCATCACCACCCCCACCGGAATGGCGGTGATGTACGCTCGCGTCATCTTGTCGAGCGCCCAGTGACCCAGCTCCGCGATCTCGGCGCGCGGCGTGCCGTCGATGGCCAGCTCCTGGGCCCCTCCGGCTCGAGCGGCGTGCACGTTCCTCTTGCAGAAGACCCCGTTTTTGTCCCACAACTGCCGCGTCCAGCGTTGGTGGCTTGCCACAGAGAGCTCCCCTTGGTCGGTGTCGTTTTTGGCGAAGAAGAGGTGCTTCTTGTACTAGCTTGCGCGTGTGCTGGTGTCCACCGGTGGAATGAGGCGGACGCCGTGAAACTGGCCGATCTGGTCGAGGATGAAGTGCAACCACAGGCCCGTCTCGCCGACGGCGCACAACTCCGCTTCGAGGTGCCGCGCAGCGTAGCTCTGTTGCAGACGCGCATCCTTGGACGTCTTCGAGTTCCGCGCAGCGATGACCATGACGACCGGCTGGTTCTCCGGGTTCACCGACGAGGTGCTCGCCAATCGGTACAAGAATATATCGGGGAGCGTGATCTCGCGGATGCTTGCATCGCGCAGAAGAGAGTGGTGGGAGAGTAGCGTGAGCACCTTCAATAGCAGAAACCGCCATAGCGTCTGCGACGGGCCCGTACCCTGCGGGTTCCACGCCTTGGCCGCCCACGTCGGCAGCACCCTGAACATGATCTGGCGGAACTGCTCGGCGGTGTAGGTATCGCCAATTGTTCCGCGACGCCGATCGGTGCAGTTCCTGCCGACAATGCCGAGGGTGGGGGGCAATTAGGGCGGCGTCGACTCAGTACAAGACAACAAGAGGTTAAACAAAAACTCACTTGATGTCCCGCTCGTTCTTGGTGCGGATCATGAACCACACCTCCGACCTGACTACCGATATCTCTTGCATGATGCTCAGCTCCGTCTCCCGGTACATCGTCGCCTCCACTCTCGCCGGCATCTGGCATGCCTTTATGCGCCCGAGGAGCGTGTGCACCGTTGTAGATTGCACAAGCTGTGTTCCTGTGGCGTTGTCGCCCTTCTTGCTGGACTCGGCATCGAGATTCAACTCCCGAACCATGTACTTCACGTATGCGCGAAGCCAGGACTTGGTGACCCTAGGGCCGTGCAGCCACACATACGACCGGGGTACATCGGCCTCTTGGTCCCAGTTTTTCTTCTTGTTGTCCCGGATGTAGTGCCCAATCTCGTTGACGTGCTTAAGCCTGTACTCCTGCGGAAGCTTGTTGCGAATTTGCTTCAACATCTTCGCCGCCCACCTCTTGTAGTGATAAATCCACGAGGTGTACTGCCTCAGCGTGCTGTTCCTCTCCACGGTTTGCAGGTGGCGTAGGGCGTCCAAGACGAGCACGTCGATGGTCGCGTACACCATGTCTTCCTCGACGAAGTCTGCCGCCCTCCACTGTTCGCGTAGCACCGACAAATTCTCCTGGTCGGCATCCTCGTCCTGTTCGAGCAGATCATCTATGTATTCAAGTTCCCGCCTGAGCCATTCTTCCAAGGTGCGCTGACTAGTGCTACGCGGCGGACGCTCGTCGTTTTCGTCATCGCTTTCCTCCTCCTCCTCCTCCTCCTCCTCCTCCTCCTCCTCCTCCTCCTCCTCCTCCTCCTCCCCCCCATCCTCCTCCTCATCGACCTCAACCTGGTTTCCAGAGCCGGCCGGTGCCGACGAAGTTCCTGGCCGTCCATTTCGCGCCGGATTCAGTTTTTTATTTGTCGGAAACTTGGTCTTTTGTCTCTCCTCTTGCTTTGTCCTTCCCAGCTCAGTACCTTCTTCCTTCTGCCCCTGTCTTTAGTCTAGTGCCAGCCCCTCCCACCTTGTCCCTCCCTTCTCTGTATCCCCTCTCCCTCTGTCTCACCCCATCAAGTTCCTCAACTCTCTCTTCATGCGTTGGGTGGCTACCCCTGCCTTTCCCTCTGTAAGCTCCTGGCTCATGGGCTTCCCTCAGAGTCTCCCTAGCTCGGCTGACTGCCTGAGAACACTGAGTGGGAACCTGCACAAAAGGACTTGCTGGGATTGGCTCCTCCGTGGTGGGCTAACGCGAGTAGCGAGTAACTCTTAGCTGATAGAGGAAACATACAAGCAAGCAAATGAAACCGACCCGTGTTGCTTGCCTAAGTATGTGCACATGGTTACCGTTGCCTGCAACGGTTGGTTTTGTTCGTCAGTTCTCTGATTTGGCGCTATTCGCCTCTGCCTACTTCGCTTGAAAACTACTCACTACTGTATCCTGTCATGCATTTATATTGCTAGGTCCTGCTCTCCATTCTTCCAATTAAATGTATGACAGCTGTCGGAAACTTGGTCTTTTGTCTCTCCTCTTGCTTTGTCCTTCCCAGCTCAGTACCTTCTTCCTTCTGCCCCTGTCTTTAGTCTAGTGCCAGCCCCTCCCACCTTGTCCCTCCCTTCTCTGTATCCCCTCTCCCTCTGTCTCACCCCATCAAGTTCCTCAACTCTCTCTTCATGCGTTGGGTGGCTACCCCTGCCTTTCCCTCTTGCCCCCTCCTTGGCGCTAACTCTCGCTCTGGTAGGTATCGCCGATGGACCCCTTTTTTGAAAGGCTCTTCTCTTGTCTGCTCCTTCTGCTTGAGAGGGCCTGGGGGTACTCGCGGGGGCCTTGCCTTAGCTACATTCGTCTGATGATCCCTCTTCTCTTGCCCCTTGTCCCCCACTAGTACTACCACTCCCGACTCCTTGACCTCTTTCACTTTCCACCTCTCAGTGCTGAGCCCTATATCCAGCATGTCTTGCCTGGCCTGTTTGACATATACTTCTTCCCCCACCCCCAACGGTGCCCCCTTTGCCCCTGCCTGCTCTTCTCTCCTTCTTTTGTAGCACTGTGCGTCTCTGAGCTGGGCCACATGCAGGTTCTCTAACGCTGCTGGCAGCATCTCCCGTAGGTACCTTGCCCTAACCTCGACCAGCCCCACCCAGGCGTCTTCCGAGCTCACTGAGACCACATCTGTCAGTACCCGTGGCGCGTCTATGGGCAAGATAGGTTCCCTTCCCAGCAGCAGGTAGTACGGCGAGAAGTCCTTTAGCGCTGCCTGCCTACTGAAGCGGTAGCCTGCGAATACCCACGGGAGTCTCAGGTCCCAGTCCTTCTTGAATTGTTCCCCGTAGGCTCTCAGCCCTCTCTTCACCGTCTGCACAAACCGCTCTGTGAGCCCGTCACTCTGTGGGTGATACCTGGAGGTCCGCCGATGGGTAATATTGCTAGCTTTCAGTAGCTTTGCGAAATCGCCCAAGAATTCTGTGCCCTGATCTGTTAATACCTCCCCACATGCTCCGAACCGAGTCAACACATGTTCCTCAAATGCTTCTGCTATCCGGGCCGAGCTCTTGCTTGGCAGCGCCTTCACCTCCACCCACTTACTGCCGTGTTCGATCATGATGAGTATGAATCGCTTCCCCCTTCGGCTGAGCGGCATTTCTCCGGCCATATCTAACGACCACCGAAACCCCAGGCCTCGGATGGGCAGCGAGTGCAGCTCTTCCCTCCCTCTCTCCATCTCTGCTTTGTTCCTGCTGCATAGTTCGCAAGCGCCCACCCACTCTTTAATGTCTCCCCTCATTCCTGCCCACCACCAGCCCGTCTCTATTAGCTGGCTCGTCCTTAGGCTGCCATAGTGCCCCAACTGCCGGTGTACCCTCGCTATGATCTCTTCCCGTTCCTCTCGCCTCGGGACCAGCTTCCATCCTTCCTTAGTGTTTTTCTGGAGCTGGTCCCGGAACCACCGGTAATGCAGGCCCCTGGCTCTGGCCCTCTCGCTTGCAGGTTCTGCTTCTGAGTTCTTTCCTTGGATCCACCCCAACGTCTCTTCATCCTCCCAGACGTCTTCAGCTCCCTTTTGAGCCTTCCGTTTAGCTCCTTCCCCGTCGATTTCTCTCGCCAAAGCCACGAGGCACGCCTCTGGGCTCGCAGGTGGCGGGTTGCGTGATAGCCCGTCCACGTGTTGCAATGTCTTCCCCGCTCGGTGTCGAATGGTGAACTCATATTCCTGCAGGCGCATGGCCCATCGAGCGTTCCGGCCTGTCAAGGCCTGATTGTTCATCACCCACGTCAGCGGCTGATGATCCGTGACTAACACGAATGGCCTCCCCTGTAGATATACCTGGAAGTGGGTGATAGCCCAGACCGCCGCGAGCCCTTCCCCTTCGTATGAACTATAATTGGCTTCTGCAGGGTTACAGCTTCGGCTCGCAAAGGCCACCACCATCTCCTGTCCGTCCCTCTCCTGGCATAGGATTCCCCCCATGCCTGCACTGCTCCAGTCGGTGTAGAGTACGAACGGGTCTTCCTTACTGGGCAGTGTAAGGACGGTCCCCGTCTTCACCGCCTTAAGGAGGGCTTTGAATGCCCCCTGCTCTTCCTCTCCCCATTGCCACACCTGGTCCTCTCGCAGCAACCTGTTCAGTACTGCGGCAGTACGGCTGAAGTTGGGTACGAACTTCTTGTAATAGTTAAGGAAGCTCAGTACTGCCCTCAGCGTACTGCGGTCCTTAGGGGCGGGGACTCGGTCCAGCACCTCCACTTTCGCTTGCTGGATGCTCAGCTGCCCCCCTTGTACTTCGAAGCCCAAATACTTCACTATGTTGTTCCCGAAACTGCATTTCTTAGGGTGGCAAGTCAGCCCCGCTGCTTGAATGGCGTCCAGTGTATCGCCCACGTCCTTCACGTGCTGCTCTGCGGATGCACTGAACACGACTACATCGTCGATGTAGCAGGCTGCCGCCGGCACGTGCCTCAGCACTGAGTCCATCACCCGCTGGAATAATGCTGGCGCGTTCTTCATGCCAAAGGGCATGAACTTCCACTCATACAGCCCCTCGGGTCCGTGGAAGGCCGTTTTCCTCCAGTCCTCTTCCTTGATCGGTATTTGATTAAATCCCTGTCGAAGATCCAGCGTGCTGAACACTACTGCTCCCTGCAGCTGATCGAATATCTCTTCCGCCGATTGCATGGGGTACCTGTCCGCCACTGTCACTTTATTAAGTCCTCGGTAGTCCCCACACATTCTCCTGGCTGATACCTCTCCCGTGAGATCCTTCCGTGCTGCTACAACCGTCGCTGCTGCGTAGTCACTGTCCGAGAACTGGATAAGACCCGCTGCTAACAGCTCCGCGCACTTCTCCCGGCAGGTGTCCAAGTCGCCTGGACTCATCCTCCGTTTTCGTACGTATATGGGCATCTCGGTATTCAGCTTCACCTGCATTTGATGCGATTGACATTGCCCCAGTTCGGATAAGGTGTATGCAAAAGTCTTGCGGTGCCGCTTCAGTACCTCCTGTAATGCCTGCGCTGGCTCTGCCCCCATTCCGGAGCCTATGGGCCAGGCATCCTCGGGTCCCCTCTCCTGGCTTGTCTTTTCCGTCTCCGTCTCCCCGTCGGGTGGCAGTACTCCTTGGTCTGTAGCCGTACTCCCGGCTTCCACAGCCATGCAGGCCCATCCTTCCAAGATGCGTGCATCCTGTTGCTCTTCTATGGCTCTCAGCTGGCGTTTCCGCTCCTCTGTCTCCTCTTCCTCTCGGTACAGCTCATTGACTTCAATACCCCGTTGGAGCTCTGTCCTCTTTAGGTGCATGCGAATAGTTTCCACCAGCCACGCCATGACATTCAGGTCCATAGCTCTGCCCAGCGCTGCCCTCCGTTGTGGCTCAGTCACTCGAGGGTGGGCAGTAGCTCCCAGCAGATGCCCCATGGCTAACTCCCGCTCTTCGGCCGTCGGTTGCTCCCACTGTTTCCCGATGACATCATAGATCATTCCGGGCCCGGGCAAGTCTCCCTCCATCACGAATCCGTAGGCGTCCACGTAGGACACGAGTGTCGGCAGCGCCTGTCTCGGCTTCCCAGGCACATTACACTGGTACTGGGACGGGTGGTCCGGCACCGTGACTGGCGCTGGCAGTCGGTTGGGGCCCAGGATGTCACTAACCGATCTCGGTTCCGGCCGCTGCATCTGAGCCAGAGAGTGGCGCAAAAGGGCCTCTGAGATCCCATTCTGCCAGTATCTCCTAGGCCGGTGCGCTCTGGACCCAAGCTGCGCCGCGTCTACCGCTTGCCCCCTACCGACAGCGGCTTCTACTTCGGCGAATGCCCTGTGTACGGGCTCTCTGCGATCGTCAGCAAAGTCCACGTTCTCCAGGATGTAGAGCACCTCCCCTTGTTTCTCCTGAACCATCTCCAACACCCGCTTTAGGTCCCTGAAGGAGGCCCCCCGTATGTCAGCCATTCCCATTCCTGGTCCGGCCCTAGAATAACCCTGACATTCCCATCCCGCCACAATAATGTCAATCTGCCCCCACTGCTCCAGTGTCTCCTCCGAGATATCCCGGACATCGTCCACCACCTCCTCATATTCCACGGGTAG